GAGCAGGGCAGTGGGGAGGTTTGTGGAGAAATTCAGAAGGAGCGGAGTGAAGAAACCAAAGTTTTGTCGGCGGAAGTGGGAACAAAGGTGGAGCTTAGAGTTGGGAATCGGGTAGGAAGAGCAGCACCTGTGGGAGGTGTGTTTGAGAGGGAGGGCTGTGAGCACGTAATTCAGGGGATGAGGGATATAGTTTGATTCAGAAGATGTAGGTTTAGGTACTGAGTGCGTATTATAAAGTGATAGTTGTTTAACCAGATGCCTCCTTCCGAGTGTGCTCTTTAGGAGGCTGTGGATACTAACAAAAACAGTCCCCAGATTAGAAAAGGTGCATGCCAAGGGACAAAAGAGGCAGGGATTTGAGATTAACATGTAAGGTGAATTGGGAGGGGATGAACGAGCAGAAACTAAAGAAGGCCAAGTTTACTTATATGGTATGGGGAGATGGCAAACGGCTGAGACCTGTAAGTAGTTGAGGGGGAATTGGGAGGCCAGGAGTGCTTGGAGGACGAAAACTTTGTCGGGTGGACAAAGTTTTCCATGCCCCCGCAGGGCCAGTGCCAAGAAAATTAATTCATTCAGCAATATTTAGTTATAGAAAATGATAGATATTGAGAGAAAGATTGGGGAGTTGAGAGTAACTTAACTAGTGATAGCTATTCTGAGAAACATTCACGGCATAATAACTTTATGATACCCGTACTAGCTTCACGAAGAGATATATATTGACGGTGACGCTTGACCGAGCAGTTTTCATTTTGGTGCAAAACGTGCCTTTGTACCCTATTGAGTGGAGTTTGAATATGATCTACTGAGATTTAAGCCTTACTAAATGAACCAAGAGTGCAAAGGGAGTTTCAAGAATTCAGTGGAAAGCGATTTTAAAAATTCATTTGTAAGAAATGTTTGCTGTTCTCTGACTTGCTGTCCTGTCTCTATGTTCACACTGGCTTCATATTTGCTTTCTCGTCCTTGAATTTTCAGTGTTAAAACTGACCTAAATTTGAGACTCAACCCAAAAACAGCTTCAAAAACAAAACTGTTTGTAGTTGGTAAGGAATAATGTAATTCTATATGTTGCCTAGGTTTTATCTTTGGTTGCAGTATATTATTTAAGACATTTTTTTGGTATTTTTTCCTTTTCTGACTAATTGTAAATCCACGGATGTAGGTTGATAAGGTAGCTTGTATGTTACTATGAGCACTTTCATGCTTAAGTTAAAGCATAAAAATATTAACACTGCGGTATTTAAAGTCTTTAATATTCTGCATCGTACAAAATGAGAAATTGTTTTAGATTGTAGTTACACATAATTAAATAGATATGATGTGGAACCAATTAAGAATATATTTGTGAAATTTTACTTATGTGATATAAAATGAAAAAATGATTTTTGGTCGTAGAATTACAAATATTCCAGAGTAATTAAATGCATCTTATATAAGACAAATAATGGATTGCAGGTTAATTAAAATATATTTAATTCAACACATTTTTAAATTCCATAAAAATTTGGCTGCTTACTGTGGTAGGTGCTGGATATAATTGTCAACAACCAGTGAGTAATTAACTTCTTATTCATTATTATAATAATGCTAATAATGATATTTGTAAGCATGTCTGTGTACCAGGCATTGTTCTGAGTGTTTTACATTTATTTGGTACTTGATACTTTTTTTCAAGACACACGTTATCTTATATTCACTGTACTAAAATTAGATTAAATAGTCTGTTTTACTTGTGTCCACATGTTCTCTATATCCATTTTTGCTTATCATTTACACTCACTTGGATCCTCTTCATTACCCCACTTTTTTTCTAAGTAAATACTCTTCAGGAATCTCATCTTCCAAAAAACGTCTTCCTTTATGCTACAGAGAGTCAGAGTGTTCATATTTATGCTTTCTGAAAGAAATGTTAGAGCCAAGAAAGAAGTGACAACCTTGAGTAGAGCAGTATTAACACTTAACTTGGAAATTACTATCTGTAGTCTGGATGGACATTTGCAAAGCCTGTTTGTAGTTGTGTTATCTCCTGTGAGGATCATTGGACCAGAAATAGCAGATTGTTTTTGAGGCTATGTTATCATTTTCATTTTGTTTGATTTTTTTTTTGTTGTTTGCAATGCTAAAAAGTAAAATAGTGAAAGGAAACTTGAATTTTATCTTAGAGCTTTCCTATTGGAATTAATAATCCAGTTTTTCCACTGCTTTGGCCTTTGTCACTTATCCACATAGAGGTTCTTGACATCGTTTATCAGTGTTGAAGTTATAAGATCAATATAAAGGAAATAAGGTGAAATTTATGTCAATCAGATTTGTTACTTGGTGACAGGCAAAGAATTAGTTTTAGGAACAGGTTGAAGATATAGGCTAAAATGAATGCTATATTTCCCAAGTTGTACTTTTTGCTCCCACAATTTTGTGCCACTGAAATCGGCATGTTTTAAAATCAGTGCATGCATTTAGTATGGTAATGTTTTTTCCCCTTGTAAAACTTACTTAATAGTATCTTAAAATGTATGGCATCTTACTTAAGCAAATATAGTATTATAGATCCTTTTTAGAGTATTTATTTGTGTGGTCTTTATCATTGCTAATATAGATTCGTGAGAGATGACTGTTAAGATTTGTATGCTTCATATTATTTGGGAAAATGCAAAAGTTTTGTGTAAGTTTTACTTTTATAATTAAAATCCATTTATGTGCACAGTGAACATTTTATTAAGTCCCTGTAAAGTGACTCATAAAGAATTTTTTTAAAGAAGGAAATGATAGCTTTTTGTAAAGAACACCTTTTATGTTAATATCCTCTTCCCAATTTATCTTAAATGTGTGCCTTTGGAATCTAATGAAAATACCTACCTATCCCTTTGGTCACATACATTTGTTAATTACTTCAGTATATTTGTTAACTTGATTTCTGAAGTTATCCAATTAAGTTTTTTAATCCAGTACTATTAATGTGTTTAACATGCACGTGTAACTACTAAGTAAACTTCTTATATTTTTTCCTTGTATTCTTTTTTGATAAAATTAAAAATAATAACTTGCATCTGAAGACTTTATTTGGCTTTACATAAATCTTCATTCTTGTCGACTGCTTCTAACTTTTGCTTTAACCCATAGAAGAAGAATGTTAAAAGGGCATCACGAAGAAGGGCTATAATAGTATTTATTAGTTGACCCATATTTGCATGCAAAAAACTCCTCAAAATTCACAGTATAGCTTTTCTAATGTCATTTTCTAATTATTCAGTGGCTTCACTACGTAACATGACTACACAATAATTGATGGTATCGAAATGGTAAACAATTGACTACATATACAATTTTTTTTCTCACTGTGCCAGTTTTAAAGATATTTTGGCAAACATAAATTTGCTTTGAAGCTATTTTAAAATTTATTCATTTTCTACAGTAAAGTTAGAGAACAATTTAACTGATCAGCAGCAGTAGCTGATGCATTTCTCCTTTTTTGACTCCTCTTGTTAGGCTCATATTTCATAGCGTAAAGGCATCCCTAAGAGAAAAGAAAAAACTCTGCTTCTTTAAGGAGGAGATAAATTCTTGTACCACCTTATAAACTTAACAGGACTCTGTACCTACACAACAGCAAAACCTACCTCATAGGATAATTAATTCTAGGGAAGAAAAGTAGGTAAAGACTGAATATAGTAAATTCCTGTTCAGTTTGGAATTTAGTTTACTAATTTGAAGGTACTTTTGCATTACATTTTTTATTGGATATATAAAGGGTAGATAGTCTAATATTGGGAAATTTTTTGAGATCTTCCAAATATAGGGATATTTATAGGTTCAGCCTATTTTATAATACATAAATCTATATGACTATTGAATGATAATGATACTACAGTGCTGTGGAATTGTGCAGAACTTTCAGGATTGTTTATAGTTTTATGATTAATGCATTATATATTTTGATTAAAATAATTATGAATTATGTATTTGATACTCTGATAACTAGACTAATAAGCTAATTCATTGTATAACACTTTGTTCCCCAGTCATTCTGGAAAAGACTTTATTCTGGGATATTTTGAAAATAGCATCAGCTCAGGAGAAGAGCTCATTGGTTTATCAATAGGACTCTGAAAGCACAAGCATAGGTTGGAGGTGGAAACTATATTGTCTTCTTGTTTGTAGGAAAGACAGTTTTAAGGGGAGTGTTAAATTAATTATGAAAAAAGTTATCTTTATACTAAGAGATCTTTGTGTGACTTTTGCCTTAGTATAATAAAAGTTCATAATTCAGGATATAGACAGAATAATTTGATACATGTTGCAATAACTTTTCAAATATTTTAAGGGTCAGCTATAGAACTGCGCCAAAGAAAAAAGCCAAAGTCTTCAGAAAATAAAGAATCTGCCAAAGAAGAGAAAATCAGTGAGACTCCAGTTCCTGAAAGAGCTCCAAAACGTAAGTTAGGTAGATCTGGAGTTTTTGTGCTACTACAAAAATAGTTATGCTATGTAGTGTATTTTATAGTAACTTTTTAAATGTATAAACATTTTTAATCATGGTGTGATATCAGTCTACTTTCATTAGATTTTGCTGTAGAACGACCCCTAAATCTCACTCATTTACAACAGACATTTATTTCTGATTAACATTACATATCGTGCCTTCAGGTTGGCTGGTGTAACTTCATGTGTTACAAAAGAATAGCCCCTATATGGGACATGTTTTTCTTGTGGCCGAGAAAAAGAGCAGGAGAGCAGGCAGTCATGCAGGGCCTCTTAAAGTTTCTACTGAACTGGTACATTGTTACTTATACTCATTCTGTTGGCCCAACCCAGTCATATAAGTAATCCAGATAATGGGATGGAGAAGTATACTCTGACTACAGGGAAGCATTGCAGGTCACATGCTAGGGGGCAGGGATGAGTAATCTTTTTATAGGAAAGGACAAAATATTTGGGAATAATAATCACAGTCTACCATATTCCATCTTTTTAGTCATAAAAATTTTCTCTCCCTCAGATGAAATATATTTGCTACCTCCTCTACACCAAGGAAGAAACTCAGTCTTATCTCTAATCATGGCATCAGTCTTTAAGCCCAAGGTCTTTTTATCTACATCTGGGTCAGCTATGACTCAGAGACCTATAAATTAAAAGAAGTTATCTGCTCTGTGTCAGGGATCCCCAAGACCACCCCCATTTTCTGAAATTAGCTAGAAGGACTCATGGGTGTCAAATTAGAATCGTATTCACAGCTATGATTTATTACAGTGAATAATACAAAACAAATTCAGCAAAGGGAAAAGGCTTATGGGCTGAAGTCTACAAGAAACTAGGCACAAGCTTCCAAGATTCCTCTCCAAATGGCATCACACAGGAAGGACTTAATTCTTTCAGCATCAGAGTGTGATGTTTATAGTTTTGTCTACCAGGGAAGCTCATTAGTGACTCTGCACAGGGTTTTTGTTGGTGGCTGGTCATGTAACTTCTGCCTACCATCTACCAAAATTCTAGTGTCCCAGGAGGAAAGCAGTAGCATGAACCACATTGTACAAACAAAGAAGGCAGAGTAAACCACTTGTCAGTTAGCGAATGGTGGGAACCCTCCTGAAATCCAAGTCTCAAATGCCAACCAAGAGCCTACCTTGCAAGCAGGCCTTTCTTAGCAAAGCAGTTGCACTTCTGCACGTGCCCCCTTTCTCATTATACATTGTTGGATAGGGACAGGATAACCAAAATAAATGCTTTCATTCAGAAAGAGGAAGAGTGAGAGACATACATCAGCCACTGGTCCATAGCAGTTCTGATATTGCAGTAGATAAATAAGAGATCTTCTTACCTACGGGTAGGGAATGTTTCTTGATTAGGCCCCAATTGTTTTCCTTGGAAGTAGTTTCCCAGTTCATTGTTCTTGGCTCCACCCTGTAGAGGTCCTTCTATTTCCATTATCCTTCTGAACCATATCTGAACAGCTTTCTTAAATTGCTTCCTACCCATACAAAGTTGAGCACCCATTTATGTATATTTACTCAAATAAGATAAAGACAGTAGGTCATCTCCAGATCTAATTGAGGGACTAGCAGCAAGAAAACTTTTTGGAAGCTGGAAAAATAATCTATATTATGCTATGACAAAACGTTTGTGTGTCTACATCACCTAGTATTCTGAAATGGTCTCCCATCCAAGTACTAACCAGGCCCAACCCTGCTTAGCTTCCAAGATCAGACGAGATTGGGCACGTTCAGGGTGGCATGGCCATAGACTGACAAAACGTTTATAAAACTTCTGAGTGAATAGTTGTAATTTTAATACTAATTTTTTATTTTAGGTAACAAGATTGCAAAACAATGTGACTAAAGTGCCTTGATTATCAGCTGCATTTGATTACAGGAAAGAGATGTGTTTAGAACAGAATTGGCCTACTTGTAAGTAGGAATGAAGAGGAAAATAGAAAATCCAAAATTTCTGGGACTTACAGTGTTGAAGTGAGAACTTTTTTTTTAACTAGTCAGAAATTAAAATTGAGAAATACTTTGAATAAGAAAGGCCGATTAAGGTGAATTCTTAGGGCAGTAACCAAATCAAGGGCATGGCTGTCACATAGTTTATTAAAGTGTATAAATGAATTAAGGTAGTTCCTAGTAAGTTCTTATAGTAGGACAAAGCACTTAGGGGAAAAGGACAAAGAATGTGGTCCCACAAAAATTAGATAAGCTCAAAATACATGTTAAATCTTTAAAAGAGGCATATCTAGGAAAACAATTATGAGTATAGTTATTGGAATATGGAGCTGACTGGAATCAAATAAGTAAAAAGCCCACAGAATTATTCTTTGCAAAAATGAGTGATTTAATTTTAAATTAAGGTATAATTAACATACAATAAAATGCACAGACTGTAGGTGATAAATGAGTTTAGCCATTTGAATACAGCTGAAATAAGATAGAGAACATTTCCATTATCCCAGAAAGTTCCTTTGTATCTCTTTTCAGTAGATTTCCTCTGTACCCCACAAGACAACCACTCTTCTTATATTTTTCAATATCGATTAACTTTGCATGTCTAGAATTTCATTTAAATGGAATCATACAACAAGTATGCTTTTGTGTCTAGATTCTTTCACTTAGCTCAGTATGTTATCCGGTATAATGATTTTGAGATTCATTTTTGTTGCTGTAATTGTTTATCCCTTTTTTTTGTTGGACATTTGAGCAGTTTCCAGTATTTACTTTTTATGAATAAGGCTGCTATGAACATATACAAATCCTTTCGTGGACATCTGTTTTTATGTCTCTTAGGTAAATACCTAGAGAATTGCAAGCTAAGCTTTTGAGAGAGATGTACTGTCAAAAGAACTGCCAGCCTAGATTTAGAAGGACACAGCTATCGAGGTCTTAAAATGATGTTTGAATCTATATTCTATATGCAGGAAGCAAGCTGAGGAAGCTGCTCTTAGGGTATCTTTCATGAGGAGGAGTGAGTGTTCTGCTTTTGGGAGGGAAGTGAATATTTGTGATTAATGAAGCAGATTCTGCTGGAACCTTTTCTTCTTCCCAAATGTTTGCTCTCTTCCCTAAAAGTGGATTATGCATTCCTTCCCATTGCTATGTGATTTGGAGCACCCCTCTGAAACAGGGTATACTTCCCTACCCCAGTGTCGGGTTTATCAATGTGACTTGCTGGGCCAATGGAATATGAGTGGAAGTAGCAGTGTACTACTACTGACCAGAAGCTGTAAGAGGCTGATTTTGCCTGTTTTCCTCTTTTCTTCTGTCGTGAGAACATGTCTCAAGTAAGGATTGATCCCAATCTGGAACTCTGAAGAAGATACAAGGAGAGCCAGAGCTAATTTGAAGTCTGGAATTGAGTGGAGAGTTACCGCTTACCTGAAACCTACAAGTAACATGAGTGAGAAATAAACCTTTGTTTTTTAAGCCACTGATAGTTTGGGGTCACATTTTTATCACAACAAAGCTAACTAATAGAGTAATCTTTTAAAGCATTTGGGAAATGAGTATAAAAAATGTAATTAAACAATCCAGATATAACAACTATGAAATAGTATTTTAACTCTTGGGAAATGAGTATAAAAAATATAATTAAACAATCCAGATATAACAACTATGGAATAGTATTTTAACTCTGACTACAAAAACATATTTTCAGGCCAGAAAATGTGGAAAATAGAGAAAAGTGTAATAAAGATAAAATACATGCATAATTCCAGTAGATATAGCTACTCTTAAAATTTTGGCAAGTATTGTATATTTTTTAATGTACTTGTACTATTTTTTACTTTTTGTGAGATCAACTTCTACATTTCTTAATGTGTCACTAGCTTTTCCTGTGCTTTAAAGATTACTTAACTGTGCCCTATACCATTGATACTGTATTTATGTATTTTTGTGCATGATCAGCATTTTACAAATGAAGGGACTGGAGCACAGAGAATTTATCTGATTAGGCTGGTTTATGACTAACATAACTTAGAAGTCAGATCCTTTTCAGTTTTCCAATTAAAATGATAATTTTTTTAAGACTGTAAAAACATTAAGGTCCAGAGGCCCAGAGCTTCTTTATTTTCTCTAAAATATATCTACTTATGTCAAATACTGATAGCTTAATTCCATCTTTTACTCTTTATAAAAAATTTTCAGAAACAAAATATTTGATATTAAGGTAAGGCATTTATATACAGATATTCCTAAACTTACAAGGAGGTTACCTCCTGATAAACCCATCGTAATTTGAAAGCATCCTAAGTTGAAAATGCATTTAAACTACACGGTAGAATGTCAGTTGTTTACCATTGTGATCATTTGCGAGACTGGGAGCTGTGGCTGTCTGCTGCTGCCTAGCATCACAGAGTATTATACCATATACCACTAGCTAGGGAAAAGATCAGAATTCAAAATTTGAAGTACAGTTTCTACTGAATGCATATCATAAAGTCAAGAAGTTGTAAGTAGAAATGCCATAGATCAGGTACCATCTGTATAAGATTTGGTTGAATATATTTTTATAACAGCCCCTAATAATTAGGATTGATTTGCCACTGTCTAAGACTTAATGGAAAAAAAAACAGGAAAAGATCCATGTTTAGAAGCCTTGAATTACATTTGCCAAACTGACACCACACATGAGTTTTCTTATTTGTTTTTTTTACTGAATTCTAACTATGTGCCAGGATGCTTTACACATGCTATTGGAAACAGTAATTTTAAAACAGCTGTATCATACTTACACTAAATTTATTAGGTAATGTTTTTCAAGCATTTTGAATATAGTTCATATTAATATAGCTAGTCTTTAATGTCTCTAATATGCTATGCAAACTAATATTTATGAAATAATGTTTTGAAAATAACTAAGATTTTAGTTTAGCTAAACTAATAAATTGACAAGTTGATTTTTACAAACTTTCAGTTATCCGGTAACAGAACACTGTGCTTTGGGCCCCTAGGCTTATGCTTATTATTAATCTTAATAGCTATAGCAGGACTAAATCATCCTGTGTGTAGAAAATCCAAATGTGTTTTATGTTATTTCATCAAGAGGTAGTTATATATAACAGTTGTATATGATGTTTTAAATACATAATCATCAAAAGCCATTGAATTGTATACTTCAAATGGTTGTAGTTTATAGTATGTAAATTATTCTTTAATAAAGAAAAAATTCCTTGATAAAGGAAAATATCAGTAGTAATTCCGAATGAACCTGTATTTTTTTCTTTAGATATTTGCTAGTATATTCCTTTTTTAAATTAATAGGCTTTAATTGTAAAAATATTTTTTATTTATAGAAGAATTGAACAGATAGTACAGTCCGCATGTTACTACCATCTCACACACAGTTTTCCAAATTCATGAATCGATATTGACACATTATTTTAAACTGAAGTGTGTATTTTATTCGGATTTTTTTGGTTTTTACCTAAAGTTCTTTTTCCTGTTCCAGAATCCCATTCAGGATATATTACATTTAGTTGCCATGTCTCCTTAGACTCCTCTTGGCTGTGACAGTTTCGTAGGCTTTCTTTGTTTTTGAGGGTCTTCACAGTTTTGAGGAATACTCGTTAAGTATATTGTAAGATGCCCCTCTATTGGAATTTGCTGTTTTTCTCATGAATAGATTAGGATTATAAATTTTGGGGAGGAATACCACAGAGTTAGAATTCCATTTTCATCACATCATATGAAGGGTATATATTAACCTTTGATTACTTTTCCTTTTAATAGAAATGCATAAATATAAATATTTGATCTACATCTGATTACTTTTAATATGCTTTTTCAGATGTATTATTTCAGCGCTTTGCAAAGATTTTCATTGGCTGTCTTGCAGCAGTTACTAGTGGTATGATGTATGCTCTCTATTTGTCAGCATACCATGAACGGAAATTCTGGTTTTCAAACAGGCAGGTAAGAAGAAAGACTTCTGAGCATGTGAAAGTTGTTTTAGTATTTAATATTAATTTAGGTAATGTGCTTTCTAAGGAGCCAAAATAGATGTGTATTATATATGACAAATGCTTTCTTATTTACAGCCGTTTAGAAACAAAATGGTGTAGAAGCTGTTTTGAGAACACAGTCATAGTATCAACCTTGAAAATTTTAATAGAATGTATTCAAGGCCATAAAATAGTAACTATGAGGGTGCTTTCCTTCGTGCAATTAATTTATCAGGGACTTTTGATGACAGTGAAATGGTATGGAGTTTAATCAGCTTTTTAGTGGTTTTGATAGTTTACATTTCAGAAACAATCTGCGTAAATTCCAGCATCAAAATATATTAATTTTTAGATTATGTGATTAGAATGTTTTGGGGTGGGTGAAAATGATTAACAGGCATAGCGGTATTCAGGTGTTGCCTCATATTAGTATGTTTAATGTTGGGTTTTAAATCATGTATATTCCACAACTCTTTAGTCACTGTAATTATATTCATAGTTTATTTGGCCTTTGATAAGTTTGTTTTAAACTTACTTTCATAATCAGATTTAATGTGTATTGACAAAGTTCACAGTGTTACTACTTGACTCTAAACGGTTTTCTTTTAGCCCAAACTGTTTAGTTATTGTTCTTACTTTTGAGCAAGTAGTTAAGCTGACTAAATGTTTTTAAGCCATTGATTTACCTAGCACCACCAAAACATTTAACTGAATATATTGGTTTGACAAAAGCTATTACTGTAGCATATCTTATTTCCTTAAAAATGTTATCCAGATAAACTCTTGGTAGTTCCCAAACTGAATATACAATAAAATCATCTGGGGAGCTTTCAAAAAATGACTTCCCTCGCAGATTCATAGTTCAGGGTGAGGGAGTGACTGGAATCATTATTTCAAAAAATAATTGTAAGCAATTTTGTTGTGTGGGCAGAATTGAGAACAACCGGAGGTTTGGAAATACAGAAGGCATTCCTCATGAACCTTGTTTTTCATAGCATTATGAGCAAGGAGCATTGGTGTCATCTGGGAGCTTTTTCAGAACTTCAGATTCTTTCAGTTCCTACTTTATAATTGAATCTACATTTTAATAAGATCTCTAAGAATTTCATATGCACATTAAATTTGAGAAACACTGATTAAGAGTTTACGTCTTTGAAACCTTAGAAAGAAACAAATCTGTTTCTATTCATAAAAAATCCTTTTAAGGAAATTTATTTAGATTAATAAGCTGTAAATGAGAAAAAAAGGGTTCACTGATCAAATATAACTGAGAAAGACATCCTCCTGGAGATTGATGATGCATAATGTATACTAAAATTCTGAAAAGTCTTTCAATAAAGAAACCTATTTAACTTTCTTTAATCCAGCCTTTCACACAGGCTATTTGACTATAGAATTCGTTTTCGGTAACATCCATTTATATCTTAGGAAGTTCTGTTGATCAAACTTTGTGAAAACTACTCTGATATCTTTTGTTTTTGTATTGATAAATATTATGCATGAATAAGTTTCTTTTAAAAATACAGATTTAAAAATATTTCGTCTTTCCACCTTCCTCCCCTTTGGCAACCATCGGCTTGTTCTTTATGTGGGTCTGTTTCTGTTCTGTTTTGTTTATTCATTTGTTTTTTTAGAGTCCACATATAGGTGAAATCATATGGTATTTTTCTTTCTCTGTCTGACCTATTACACTTAGCATAATTTCCTCTAGGTCCACCTATGTTGTTGTAAATTGCAAGATTTTATTCTTTTTTATTACTGAATATTCTGTTGTATGTATGTGTACGTATATCTCACATCTTCTTTAACCATTCACTTATTGATGAACATCTAGGTTACTTCCATATCTTGGCTACTTCTAATAATGTTGCAGTGAACTTGGGTGCATATATCTTTTCAAATTATTGTTTTTTTTTCTCTTCAAATAAATACCCAGAAGTAGAATTGCTGAATTGTATGGCAGCTCTATTTTTAATTTTTTGAGGAATCTCCATTCTGTTTTCCACAGTGACTGCACTAATTTACATTCCCACCAACAGTGTATGAGGATTCCCTTTTCTTCACATCTTTGCCAGCACTTGTTATTTGTTGATTTATTGATGATAGCCATTCTGACAGGTGTGAGATGATACCTCACTGTGGTTTTAATTTGCATTTTCATTATGATTAATGATGTTGAGCATCTTTTCATATGTCTCTTGGTCATCCGTATGTCCTCTTTGGAGAAATGTATTCAGGTCCTCTGCCCTTGTTTTTTTTTAAATTTGTGAGGGATTTTATAATTTAAATTTTTAATAAAATTTGTGAGGGATTTTATTTTTTTAATAAACTCTTGGTTTCTTTTTTTAATTATTTCTTTTTAATTTAGAGTTGTCATACAATATTATATTAGTTTTAGGTGTGCAACAGTGATTAGACATTTATATAACTTAACAAAATGATCACCCTGATAAATCTAGTACTCCTCTGACACCATAGATAGTTATTACAATATTATTGACTATGCTGTGCATTATATCCCCATGACTTTTGTAATTACCAATTTGTACTTCTTAATCCCTTCCCCTTTAACACCCATCCTCCCAACCCCCCTCCCATCTGGCAACCATGAAAATTTCTCTCTATCTATGCGTTTGTTTCTGTTCTGTTTATTTGTTTGTTTGTTTTGTTCTTTAGATTCTGCATGGAAGTGAAATCATATGGCATTTGTCGTTCTTTGTCTTACTCCACTCAGCTCAATACCCTCTAGGTCCATCCATGTCATTGCAAAATTTCATTCTTTTTATAAGCACCACGCTCTAACCAACTGAGCTAACCAGACAGCCATAAGATTTCATTCTTTAAAAAAAATTTTTTTTATGGCTAAGTAATAGTCTGTTGTGTAAATGTACCACTTCTTTTTTATCCATTCATCCATTGATGGACATCCAGGTAGCCTTCATATTCTGACCATTGTAAATAATGCTGCAGAGAACATATGGATGCATATGTCCCTTCAAAATCGTGTTTTGGGTTTCTTTGGATAAATCCACAAAAGTGGGGATTACTGGGTTCTTCTTTGTCTCTGTTATAGCCTTTGTTTTAAAGTCTATTTTGTCTGGTATAAGTATTGCTACCCCAGCTTTTTTGTTTCTATTTCCGTGAAACATCTTTTTCTATCTGTCAGCCTTTAGTCTGTGTGTGTCTTTTAATCTGAAGTGAGTCTCATATAGCTAGCATATGTAAGGGTCTTGATTTCTTATCCAATTCATCCACTCTGTGTTTTGATTGGAGCATTTAATTCATTTACATTTAAAGTAATTGTTGCTAGATATATAGTTATTGCCATTGTATTCACATCTTTTTTCTTTTTCTTCTTAAAGAAGTCCTTCTAACATTTCTTGTAATACTGGTTTGATGGTGATGAACTCCTGTAGCTTTTTCTTGTCTGGGAAGCTCTTTATCTGTCCTTTGATTCTGAATGATAGCTTTGGTGAGTGATCTTGGTTGTAGATCCTTGCTTTTCATCACTTTGAATATTTTGTGCCAATCCCTTCTGGCCTGCAAAATCAGCTGACAATCTTATGGGAGCTCCCTTGTAGGTAACTAATTGCTTTTCTTTTGCTGCTTTTAAGATTCCCTTTGTCTTTAACCTTTGGCATTTTAATTAAGATATGTCTTGTTGGCCTCTTTGAGTTCATCTTATTTGGGACTCTGCATTTCATGAGCTTGTATGTCTTTTTCCTTCATCAGATTAGGGATGTTTTCTGTCATTTTTTCTTCAAATACATTTTCAGGTTTCTTTGCTCTCTGTTCTCCTGGTATCCCTATGATGCGAATGTTGTGATGCTTGATGTTGTTCCAGAAGCCCCTTAAACTAGCCTCATTTTTTTTTGTTGTTGTTGTTGCTGCTTTTGTTGGTTGGGTGTTTTCTGCTACCTTATCATCCAAATTGCTGATTCCCTCTAATGTGTCCATCATTTGAGTTATTGTATTCTTCATTTATGACTGGTTCTTTTTTATATTTTCTATCTCCATTTTTATGTTTACTATCTCTTGTTGAAGTTCTCACTAATTTCATTGAGCATCCTTATGACTAGTGATTTGAACTCTGTGTCTGGTAGATTGCTTGTGTCCATTTTGTTTACTTCTTTTTTTGGAGCTTTGTTCTGTTCTTTCTTGTGGGATATGTTTCATTGTATTCCCATTTGGGCTGCCTCCCTGTGTTTGTTTCTATGTACTGGGTAGAGCTGCTGTGTCTCCCAGTCTTGGTAGGTGTCCTGTGGGGCCCAGTGGCACAGTCTTCCCTGGTCACCTGAGCTGGGTGCTTCACATGTGTTTCTTGTATGGATTTTGTGTGCCCTCCCGTTGTAGTTGAGCCTTGGTTGCTGTTTGCATGTTAGTGGGAGGGATTGACCCTCAGGCTGATTGGTTGTAAGGACTAGGTGGTAAAGGGCTTACTCTATGGAGCAGGATTTTAGTAGGGCTCTGGTGCCTGCCCAGTCTTGCCTTTTGGGTGTGTTGTTTTCAGATGCAGCCCCAAGTGGTGCTTCATCTCCTGTCAAAGCTGGCCACTGGGCTTGCTGGCTCCCGGTCCTCTTAGGAGGGGCCCCATTACAGGACAAGTTCAGGCGCAGCCTGTGCACTGTCTGGGGCCACCTGGCAAGAGTCAGCAAGCAGATGGTCACCACCTGTGCTGGGCTTAGAGGTGCCTTAAGAGGCCAAGATGCAAATCGAGGCTGGCTGCCTCTAGTGCCAGGCTTGGGGCCACTCAGCTAGAGGTACAGGGCTCTCCCAGGTGAGATGCTGCTTGTTATGGTTTTGTGAACCTTTAAGAGATTTTAGGAAAATCCGCAGCATGAACCAAGAGAGGCCATTTGTATGGAAAAGCCACTGGAGGCAGCTTAGGTGGGTCTGCAAGTTTGGAGGGGTGGGGTCTTAGGGTATCACCTGGGTGGAGCAACCAGTGTTAGCCAGGTGGTGAAGACTCAGATGTGACGGCCTCCCACATCTGCACACCAGGACAAGGAGGGCTCAACCAAGCAATATGGATTCTGCCTGCACTTCTCTCTATGAGAAAGCTGTCCCTTCAGTCCTTGCCTTGAAGCCAGATAATTCTGTTCCTCCCAGTATGTCCCTGGCATTTTTTTGAGCAGCTGCCCCAGCTCTGACGCTCAGAGTGTGTCCATCAGTGAGTAAGACCGTGCAGGGGCCCTTTAAGAGGAACATTTGCAATTCTCACAGCCCTTCATCTTCCTCAGCCACAATCCTTGCAGTTTTTCATAGCCAGAGGTTGTAGGGACTTCTCCTCCTGGCACTGGAATCCTAGACTGGGAAGACTGGCTGTGGCTGTTATCATTTGCTCCTTGGGAAGGGAGAGGGCTCTCCACAGCCAAGATACACCTCTGGATTCTCAACCACCATATGAGATCGTGGGACCAGCCTATTTTGCTCTCTGCCCCTCCTACCAGCCTCCAGGGGAGCTCTTATGTATATCCCCAGTTGTAGGACTTCTGTTCAGTCAGACCTCAGGCAACTCCCAATAATTTTAATGTGGTCCAGAAAGGAGGCAAGCCATCTTAATGGGAAGTCCTCTTTGAATTCTTTATCAGGCAGTTTGCTTATCTCCATTTCCTTAGGGTTTTTTTTCTTTAGATCTTTTTTGTTCCTTTATAAGTCTTCTGTCTTTTCATTTTATTTGACTTTTATTTGTGTTTGTTTTTATGAATTAAAGAAAATACCTATCTCAGTCTTTAGAAAGTGGCCTTATGTAGAAGTGACATCTATGTAGGCTGTGTATGCTGGATTATTTTGGCTGGCTGGTAGGAGCCAGTCGTGTGCTTATGGTGTCTGTGGTGTCAGGGTGTTGTCATGATGAGCTGGAGTGGCAAGTGTATTTATTGATGCCCTATTGATACTGCTTGCTTCCTTTGTCTGGGGCTGAAATGGGTTTGGGCAATGTGTCTAGGAACACATTGCAGCGATCTTGCAGGTAGGCCAGAACACTTGGATGGAGCCCCCAACCACTCTAAGGAGGTGGAGGGGAAGGTAAACAAGGGCACTTACCAGCACCTCCAACCCCAAGAATTCCTGCAGCTCTGGAGGGCTCCCATGGTTTCTCAGGCTTCTCTATTCAATCTCTTGTTGTTCAGAAGCTTTTTGTTCAGCCCTCAGCTGCCTTGAAGAAGTAATTGATCTCTATATACGTGTATCTTTGAGTTGTTTATAGGATGGGACAAATTCATTGTCTTTCTATGCCGCCGCTCTCTTGGACCTCTCTAAAAGATTATAGATTTATGAAAGTCTGATTCAGCAGAACAAGCATACGGTTTCTTAATGTTTTTGACTACCTATATGTCGGGTTTTGTATAGCCTAAATTTCAGAATTTTAAGATTTACTTATGTTTCTGGAAGTTCATTTGAAAAGCACTGATTTTGTATATGATGCTCTTGAAAAGTACTAAGTAACAGTTTGCTGTTTTGTATACACAGGGAGGTGGAATAGTAATAGAAAATGCTACTTCTTAAACTTACTTTCTTCTTAGGGACTAATAACACCGCAAGCATCTTTTATTACCTTCCTTATTATTCTTGCTATCCTTAGGGCATTTCTTTTGGTTTTTCTTCTAGAATTTCCTTATATATTTTGAGTATAGAGTAAGAAAGTGGTCCAATTATAAATGACTTGTGAGTTACAATCCATTTTAAACCTTAGATGTTTTATTAAAATGATTGCCAGATTATTATATTTAATATGGCCACTAGTAATGGAAGGAAAATTCAAACATATCTTTGAATATAAGGATAAGTAAATAGCATTAGTATAGAAGATAAGGAGAGAGAATGAAGATAGCAGTTCAAATTTAGGACACTGGCATTTAAATAATTATATTTTCTTTTAGGAGCTTGAACGGGAAATCACATTTCAGGGTGACAGTGCCATTTATTATTCTTATTATAAAGATATGTTAAAGGCGCCTTCATTTGAAAGAGGTATGATAACCACATTTGTATTTTTAATAATAATATTTTTCTAAAATTATACGTGCTATTTAGGAGCCCTTGAATGTGGAGATTTGTCTCAGAATATAGGTATGCTCTTTCTTGTACATAATAAAATAATTGGAAAAAATGAGACACAGTATTTTGAGATCTTTTTTGATAATAATTTAAAATATTTATGACCTCTGAATGACATGCTTAATTATTGTAAAAGCAGAATAAATAAATTAGAGGAAAAATTTTCTGTCTTTAGGTGTTTATGAACTGACACATAATAATAATACTGTATCTCTGAAGACCATAAATGCAGTGCAGCAAATGTCTCTATATCCAGAACTTATCGCCAGCGTTTTATATCAAGCAACTGGTAGCAATGTATGTGTTTTTCTTTTTACTATAATAGTTATTTTCTCATATACCTATAAATCCTCAAAATTATTTAATGTCATCCTATTATCTCCTTCTCTCTCTCTTTTTTTCAATTAGGAGATTATTGAGCCAGTATATTTCTATATTGGTATTGTTTTTGGATTGCAAGGAATATATGTTGCTGCTTTATTTGTTACAAGTTGGCTTATGAGTGGAACTTGGCTAGCGGGAATGCTTACTGTGTCATGGTTCATTATTAACAGGTAAGAAAGATGTTTTTAATTAAGTTTTACAATTTTTTGTGACTGTTGTAGTCACTTGTAACTCCCATGCCCCCTCCCCCGCAGATATTCTACACACTAATCCCCACTCTGGGAATTTGATGAGATACCATTCTTGTGATTATGTTACGTCAAATGGCACAGTTGACCTTAAAATAGGATTACCTGGTGGCCCTGATCTAATCTTATAAGCTCTTAAAAATAAAAGTGGAGAGCTTTTTTCAACTGAAAGGGAAATCAGAGATACTCTAAGGATGAGAAGGATTTGCTGCACTGTTGCTGGATTGAAGTGAGGAGGAAATGACTGCTGCCAATAACCAGTGAGCTTATAAAAGCCCCAATAAGAAGTGTAGCCCTGGCTGATGCTTCCATTTTAGCTTAAGGAGCCCCGAAGAGAATCCAGCCATACTCTGCTGGGTTTGTGAGCTAATAAATCTCTGTTTTAAGTCACTATATTTGTGATCATTTGTCATGCAACAATTTAAAAAATAATATACCCACCTTGTATCTCTACTTTCAGATGTAGTGACTTATGGATATACCTCTTTTTTCCTTTTATTTAAAATTGATGTCATAAGCTTCATGAAAAGCAGGAAGATGCATCAGATACATTATTATAAAGTTAACTACCACAGATAACAATCTATATTAATCTATGACTGTGCTTTGAATTAATAAACCCATCCCTTTTGGTGAGCAAAGCAGCCTCAGTTCTTTAGTAGTGAGTAAAAAGAGTAGAGGATGGGGCTTCTTTGAAATGGAGGGCTGGTTTGAGACATATCATAAAATTTTTATTGACATTGGTCAGTGTCAAAAAATTTATTCTTTGAATTATGGCATTCTCCTTCCTCATAATACTTTCCCTTCCATAACCCTTATTAAATTTTAAAAAATGAAACATTTCTTCTGTTACCCATTTCTTTCAGTGATTGCCAAATGAAAAATAATAATACTTTCAAGTTATTGAGATTCAGCATTAAGGGCTGTTATCTCTTAACAGGGCTTTGTTTAATAGTCACAGCTGGCAAGAATTTGGTATAAAGAATTGTTTAAATCTTCCTTAGAAGTTTTCAAGTATAGCTATTTAGCTTTATGAATTAAGTATATTTTTTCTTAAAAATACAGGGATGAACCAAACTTTATTATAACAAAAGCAATATATGTATGCTGTGGAAAATTAAAACCAGCAAAAATAAAATAACTTCACATTTCCACCACTTAGAGGTCACTCAGTATTTTTTATACCTTGATGTATGCAGCATGTGTGTATTTGTATATGTATTTTTTTGTCAAAATGAGATATATTGTACATAGTGTTTTATATCCTGCTTTCTTTGGCAGTCTGCCTTTTCAATTCAATAGTTTTTTATCTTATTTAATACTCAGTCCATATTACGGTTTCCTTCATTGACCCCAAAATACCCCACATATAGCTGGATTATCCAATTTAGTATTTAATCCAGGACCACATATTGCATCTGGTTATGGTCCTTAATTTTCTTTAAATTCAACATAGTCCCTTTTTTATGACAATGGCTTTTTGAAGGAACTTACTCAGTTGTGCTACACACTGTTACACCATATGGATTTCTCTTGCTGTTTTCTTGTGGTGTCATCTAGCTTTTTCCTTTTTATCTTTTGTTTCCATAAGTTGGAAGTTATATCTAAAGGCTTAATGGGTTCCAGATAAACATTTCTGATTAAAATGTATCATAGATGATGTGCTTTTCATGTTCCGTGACATTAGAAGTTATATGGTATTTAGTTGGCCTCCCCTGAGTAAAGCTGAGATTGACTGCTGGTTTGGGGGGATGACAGTCTGATATCTTTATTGAATAATCATGTTTTCTTCTTAAGACTAGAAAATAATCTGTATGGTGTTTTGGGGCACCAAATGAATGTCCTTTTCACCATTAACTATTTACCTATGGGTTATAACTCAAGTTAGTAATCTTTACAGAAATGACTAATTTCATTAGGGTTTATAAAATTTATACTTTGCTATTTTCATTAGGTACATTCTTCATTTTTCAAAGGTGTTTTTTTTTTCTTTTACTTAACCAGAGTTCTTTGGTTATCTTTAAATTCAGTTCATATTAGAAAGTCAGACGAATGTTTAATTTCACTTTAATTACCAACTTCTAATAAGAGATTTTCTTGGTAGCTGTCTCAGATATGCTAAAAACTTTTTCTGGTGTTCTCTTTTTTAATATCTTCCTCTACTTAGGGATTTTCATTAGGGCTAAATCCAATACCATAATTGTTCTTTTTGTTGCTCAAATTGTAACACTTTGGTCAATAGGAGTTCTCTCAGGCTGACTTCTGAGTTCTTTTGACATATCTTCATTAATTTTTAAAAACTTTGTTTTCTGGCTCAACAAGGCAAGCAAGCACCTTGTACATTCCCTGTGAAAGATTTGGAATTACACATTTCTCTCTGGTTTCTTTTAATATAGAATAGTATTAGAGAATCTGGTGGGGATGTTAGTTAGGGAGAGAAGATGATATGTCAGAAAGTGCCCGTTAGAGAATATTTTAAGTTGCCATGTACTTTTCTAAAATTTTTAGTATTCATTATTAGAAATTTAATAGCACACTCATAGAAAGTTACTTCATTACTCATAGACCAAGTCTAGAAAGTCTTGCTTTTTAGAGTGAAATTGTATATAGTATAATACAAGCATTATTTGAAATATAGACCTTCTAAAAGGATTGCTTTTTGATTGTGTGATGTATTAGTTATTGCTATATATACAAATCATCCTAAAACTTAACAGTTTAAAACAATAAACATAATCTCACAATTTCTGAAGGTCAGGTATCTGGTGTGGCTTAGCTGGGTGGCTCTGGTTCAGGGCCTTCTACTGGCTTTAAGCATTTACTTCCAAGCTCACTCATGTGGCCGTTTATAAGAAGCCTCAGTTCCTTATTGGCTGTTGGCCTAGAAGGCTTTAGTTTCTCATCACATGGGCTTCTCCATAGGGTTGTTCACAGCTTGGCTGCTGGTTTCCTTGAGAGTGAATCTTCCAAGAGAATATGCAGTGAACGTGCCATAGTGGAAGCCAGATGTCTTTTATAACGTAATCTCAGAAACGATATACCATCACTCTACCATATACTATTTGTCACAGACTAGTTGTGGTGCAACATGGGAAGTGACTACACAGGGTGTTAATACCAAGAGGCAGGGACCATTGTGAACCATCTTGGAGACTGCAATGAACTTTTCATATTCATTTTTTTTAATCTCCAGAGCTGTCTTCATCAGAAATTTGAAGAAGTCCAGGCATCTTTTTCATGTAAAAATAATAACAGTAAAGAAGTTAAAACTCACTGTCAAAGAGAATATTTTAGAGACCTTAGTAAGAATTGTAAGAAAATTGTTTTTTTTGATGACAATTGTTTGCCTTATTTAGTGACACTGTGTATTCGAGTTAGCTGGAACAGGACTTAAGTAGAAAAATTAACCTGGTCTAGTCTACTAAAATGTATCTTTTGGCAATTAAAACATACTTAGCAAGTAGTTTTTTTTAATGTTTGTTTTGCATTTTGTTTATTTTTTATTGGTATATATCTTATACTGTTGATCTTTGAATAACAAGGGTTTGAACTATGTGGGTCAACTTATATGTGCATTTTTTTGCAGTCAGCCCTGCATATCCCAGATTTTACATCTGTGGATTCAGTTAACCTCAGATTGAATACAGTATATTTTCGATCCGTAATTAGGAATCCATGGATGTGGAAAGCCAACAGTATGCATTGTTCTATGCCATTTTATACAAGAGACTTGAGCATCCGTGATTTTGGTATGAGTTGGGGTCCAAGAACCAATCCTTTGTGTAGATATTGAGCGATGACTTTGGTTTTTGGGGAGCCAAAAGTTATACATAGATTTTCAGGTATGCAGGGTTCTGTGCCCCTCACACCTGCATTGTTCAGGGGTCCACTGTACTGCAAAATATATCTTTTTTTTTAAAAAAAAATTAAGTTTATTGGAGAAAATATCTTAATGCCACGAAAGAATGTATTTTTTATTCATAAGATTTAGAGTTTATATCTGATTGCTCAGAAAAGTATAAAAAGATTTTAATTATTCCATTCTATTACAATCATTAGTAGTGTTCTTAATCGTATTTTGGTTACTTGTTTCTTAACACCATAAAGGAAAAGCAACGTAAAATAGCTCCTGTGTTATAAACTTTAAAAGATGTAGGCATACTAGAAAATCTTGTCTACATATACATACCTAGGTATCACTTTCAGTGGAAACATCTTTATGTATTTGAAGAGCAAAGACAATATGTGATTCAAAGTCTATATTAAATTTAATCTTTGGGGAAAAAAGTAACTATATTGGGAATGGTAAAGAGGTAAGATGTAACGAATGCACATGTCCCAAATGTACAGTTAACAGAAAATAGTGGTAACACATGATGCTGGTTCTGTTGTGATAATATTGGCGTACTTAGGATGCTTGTGAAGGTCTAAGTTTTTTCAATTTTAGGTAGTAGGATTTTGGAATTCCATTTTATTCCAAGGAAGTCATCCAGAAAAAAGAGGGAAAAGTTTACTACTTAAACTTATTTATTATAGTATTATTTTCAATAATATGAAAAATTAGAAAACCACTTAAATATAAAAAATGGTTAGGTAAATTGTAATTAATTGATACAAAGGAACATGCAGCCATTAAAAGTTATACTGATATTGTATAGATGTTTTTAAACTCTCACACGTTATATGTTGACATACCAACTGGTTTACATGTGTAATCTAATAACTCAATGTTTCTCATACTTTATATTTAAAACTTCTGTCAGATTCTATGTGTTGGCTTAAATAGTTTGAATTATAATGTGACTTAAATATAAAACATGGTAAGCTTCTTATGCTTAAAAGCAGTTGTGCTACTATTAAACCAATTTACTAGTGAAATAACAGACCAGTAAGATAGTAACTGAAAATATTAATTTAATGTGAAAAAAATGATATTTTGCTGAAGCCAAATTTCTACACTCAGTGTAAATATGGTATCAGTCCAGCAGGTTCTTTTGAGTATCAAAACAAACCTACATAGCTGGGTACCATGAAATGATTCAGTTCTCATCATGTCGCTCTGTTTAGTCCACTGTGAAATTGTTTTTACCACAATGATCAGAACATCATTTTATTTTTTATTGGGCAATACATCATTTAGTATTAAGACCATCTCATTTTTTTTTCTGATTAGCCCAAACCAGTTGTAGTACTGCGTTGCCACCTAGATTGTTAACACAAACATGGAAGTGAGTCCTCAAATCTTTTGGCAATAGTGAGTTTTATTTACAAGGTGATTATCCAAATGTTGTGTTCAAAATGAAAACAAAATTAAACTCAGAGTGTGCTGATCTCTCTGAATGTATCTTCAGGTCTTTGAACCCCAGTTGATCTAACAAGAATTTTGAATGGCTGATTTGTGCTGCTGTCTGCTAGACTCTGCCAGAAAAAGTGGATTTTATTTGATTTTGTCATGCCCCACTATTAGCCTTCTGGTTCTCACTACCACGAAGCATGGTGAGGGGAAGAGATGGAATAGCACAGATGTCCAGGAAGATAGCAGTGAAGAGGCTTGTCCAGGTATAGAGAATAACTGGCAGAGATCCTACTTAGTTTGTACTGCAGAGACTAGAGGAGAAGGATCCCTTCCTTTTCTCCCTTCTCCAGTCAGTGTTTTTGGTGTAGTTTTGCAATTTCACTGCACTATTCTGTCACTAATCTGTGAGCTGGGTGGGGGCAATCTGTGAAGCTTTGGAATGGGGCTTGCTGGGTTCAGCTTCCCAATTCTGAGCTGATGGTGTGGTTGGCAGAGTCCTGAATTGAGACTAGATATCCTCTTCTTCATTCCCACATTCTGACTATGACATGTGAATCTCTTGTTTGTCTTAGTTAACTTTCACAACAGTTTATTGTATGAAACTATTGTATGAAATAGTTGGCCTTTAGAATACATGATGTTCAACAAATGGTATTAGAACATCAAATCTGGAAAAGAAATACTTATTGCACTCATACTAAAACAAATTCCAAGTGGATTAAAAGATTAAAACTAAACAACGAAAGCAGTGATTACTATATAAAAACATTGGTCCGAGTTTTTAAAAACTTTATAACATAAATTCAGAAACAAAGGAAGTATTTAACAATAGGGAATTGATTAGATTATGATAGATCTATACAGTGATGTGCTGTTTTCAGTACATATTTTTGAAGTATGTTTATTGACATGTACATATTACAGAAAGTGCTCATAATATACTATTAAGTAAAACAGTTTATTATAGAATTATGAAAGCTGAGATCTAATACTGTTACTAGGTTCTAGACACTGCTAAGTTCTTTACAGCTTTTATTTCATTAATGTTCAGGTGTGATCTTGTTTTTAATATATATTCAATTGTACATTTATAGAAGACAGGTTTTCTTCTAATACTTTTTAACAGTTTTGTTGAGGTATAATTAACATAGAATAAACTGTACATAAAGTGTACAATTTGATCAGTTTAGGCATTTAGCCACAAGTGAATCTATCAGTAAAATCAATATAACAGACATCTCTCATCCCCAAAAGTTTTCTTGTGCCTCTTGGTAATTCCTCCCTCTTTATTCTTACCCCACCTCTACTACTGTCCCACTGTTTTCTGTCACTATAAATTGGTTTGCATTTTCTAGAATTGTTATATAAATGAAGTCATACAGTGTATACTTTTTTTGGTCTCTTTTTTTCATTCAGTGTAATTATTTTGAGATTCATGTATGTTGGGTGTATCCGTAGTTCATTACTTTTTATTTTCTAAGTAGTATCCTATTGTATGGCTCTACCACAATTGATGGAACGAATTACCTGTGAGTATGTCCATCTTCATTACTTAGGAGAGTTGTGCAGCAATTTACATAAAGTTTTTAAAGCAATAGTGCCTTTGTTTTTTGTATGAAAAATAATCATTGAGTGAGTGTACGAGATTCAAATTTAATGATTGTTGGAAAGGTATTGTGGTGTGAGGATACACAGAGGAGAAAACAGGCTCTCAGTGAAAATTGAGAAGCTAAGGAGGAGCTTACAAAGACATTCTGTATTTGTGATTCTGGGAATTTTCAAAGGCCTATAGATATCACATAAAGGACTACTGTAATGTTAATTCTGGGTAAGCTGCTGATTGAAAAGATTATTAAATTAGATATCAGAAGAAATGCATTCAAAGTCTACTTGTGCCACTTACTACCTCTGTGACTTAATTAAGTCATATCACCTCTCTGAGCTCACTTCATATTTCATATATAAGGGGATTAAGAGCTTCGCATCTGCCAGGCCTGCTAATTTTGTGCTCTCAAGAAGGGTAACCATCTTGTTAAGGGAAGGGAGGATGGAGGCTGAAACCTGGAGCAAGCTGTGTGCTGTAGCACGAGGCTCTATCTGCCAGAGTAGGGATGCCTTTTTCAAATTCTCACAGAAGTCCATCTATTTATCAAGCAGTGCACAGCAGCACTAAGTTGTCCTGGGGTCCTGGGGGTGGTGAGTAAGGGATGAGACACTATTAATTTGCTCAAAGGTGCTGTATAGGCAGTGGTGGCTCTGTCTATATCTACTCACAGGATTGTTACAGAAAACAATGATATATTTGTGAAAGTGCTTTGAAAAGTATAGTGTTACACAAATATAATGTCTTGCAATTTTGCTGTTCATCTGTGGTTTATTTTAGGGTAGATACAACAAGAATTGAAAACTCCATTCCTTTAAGAGAAAACTGGGCACTACCATATTTTGCATGCCAAGTTGCTGCACTTACAGGCTATTTAAAAAGCAACTTAAATACTTATGGAGAGGTAAGATGCAAATTTATTTGTCACAATTCTGATGTATTACAAACATACATAATTTTAAAGTTAATCATATTAAGAGTTAAATTTAATGAAGCCTAGTTGTTACTACACAATAAAGGATGTAGTTGAGTAGTCTTATTATAAATAACACTATTGTTCTATAATTCGAGAGTAAATTATTTTTAGGAGGAAGGAGATGTTCTTTTGTTTTAGTGCAGTTACTTGACAAATATATGAAGAATATCGTATTTTGAAAATTAGTGCCTCATTGTTATTTTATCATTGCTCTCACTTCTAGAACACTGATGGCCTTTGGTCATAAGTTAAATATTAATGAAGCTATAAAGCGTGACTACAAATGATAGCAATGTTAACCTTTATGGTAGCACTGTATAGTTTCTATTTACCCTATGTTTTCTGTGACTGAGGTGTAAGTAGATTAGTGAGTTTAAAGAGATTGTCCCAAAGAATTTAGATGTTGTTATTGTTGTTGACGTAAACCCTTTTGGTAGTCAGATGAAGCTTACAGACTGTCTCAGAATAATGATTTTAAATGCATAAAGTAAAATAAAAGTGATTGTAAAGGCAACCAATTATATTGAAATTAACTGAAATGTAGCAGTCCTCTATCTTTGGTTAAGAATTCCTGGCTAGGAAAAGAGACCTTATGGACCAAGGCAAGGCTTTTGTTGAACCCAGTTGGCTGGGAAATAAGATGCACTAATTGTTTTCTGTTTTGAAACCTCTGAAAAATGTACTATTCTTTCCTCCCTTCAGTGATGACAAATGTTCCAAGCATTGCAAACTTTTTATTTCATTTTTTATGAAGCTATTATCTCTCTTTTTTAATGCAGAATAATACTAACACATTTCAGATTTATAATTTTCCTTTTGTTGTGTTTGTATAAAGTGCTTTCTGAGCAAGAATATTTTCTTTAGTCATCAGGGAGTCTGTGACTGGGTATTCTGTTAGATTGTGCAGCCTTCTCCTAGGGAAGACTAGTCCTAAAGTTTTTGAATAAAAGTTTATAGTAAATATACTAAAATGAACTGCTTATGCTTCTTTGTATATACGATTATTTTGAACTAAAACACAACTTTTGTTGCCTAAAAAAGGTTTAATTAAGTATCTTTTAAATAAAATTAATTTATTTTAAAAGGAGTTATGGAAAAGTTATGTAGTGTAAACTTATTTTTTTCCCTTCTATCATATTTGATATTTTTCTGGATATCTTTTCATTGCCATGTTATATATTTATGTTTTAACTGTTTTTTATTCCAACTTTTTTAAAATTAAAAAATAATATGTACATTACACATATGGTAAAAATCAATCAATGTAAATGGATATACAGTGAAAAGGATAGTTCTCTCCAGGTCACTAGTGTTTACCAAGGACCCTGTACTTTTTTAAAGGGTCCACATATAGCTTATACTCTTATTTTCGGTTACATTTTGTTTTTCACTTTTTATTTAACCACAATTGTCTTTCTCTGTTTTCAAAGTACTCATAACATATTCCCCCTTTCCTTCCTTCCCTATCTTCCTCTGTTAAGATAAAGGAGAAAATTGCATTTATCAGTTATTTGATTATTTATAACTAGCCACTCATCTAGTACTCAAGAATACACAACAAGAGCAAAATATCTGTATGCAAATATTAAAGGGATAACAATATTAAGGATTTTATTTTTTAAAGATGGCAAAAAAATAAAAGCAAGTTAACCATGGTGTATTATTAACCCTTCAGGTTAACGATTCGATTTTTTTAAAAGCAAAACTGCTCTATTCTTCAATTATGTTCATACCCTCGACTCCACTCTGCACATACACATCTATGTGTGTTTTGAAATACAAATGTCTATACCTGAATTAATAGTATTGTAGCAATGTCAGTTTCCTGGGTTTGACAGTGTATTATAATCATGTAAGATATTGTCATTGGGGGAAGCTGGGTAAGGGAATTCTTTCTACTACTTATCTTAAACGAATTCAAAGTATGTATGTGTGTTTTTTATTCTAACTTTTTTTACATGTACTTTTTTGGAGGGAGAAGGAATATGTATAGTTGTATGAATTTTTATCATGTGTATATTTGAGTAACCATCACAATAATCAAGGTATAGAACTGTTCTATCACTAAAGAAACTCCCTTAGAGTACCCTGTAATAGTCACATCTTTCCCCCAATCCTAACCTCTGGCAACCACTGATCTGTTCTCTGTCACTATAATTTTGTCGCTTTGAAAGGTTCTGTAGATGGAATTATATAGTATGTTATTCTTTAAGAATGGCTTTTTTTTTTCATTCAGCTTAATGCCCTTAACATCTATCCAGGTTGTTGCATGCATCAGTAATTTACTTGTTTTCATTCCTGAGTAGTTTTCCAGCAACATGTATATTTTAATTATATATTTTGCACTTTGCTTCCCACTCTTGAGACTAGATCTCATGGTCCCAGTTGCATCAAGATATCCAAGCCCAAATCTTTTGTGCAGTTATCTGAAGCCATCTAGAGACATATGTGGTCGATTACTGAAACCCATTTAATGTGTCACTTAAGTAATATACATAAAAAAGTTCCCAGTAAAGGCATAGTTGAAAATGAAGTGAGTAAGTAAGGTAAGGGGTAGAGAAGAGTGTACAGAATTTTGAAAATCTTCAGAGAAAGAAAAAGCTTAGCTAATTGTCCAGATTGTGTTTGACTTCTATTTCTATCTATTTTCACTATATGCTCTTAAGTAGTTTGAGAATAAACACTTGGAATTAGCAGTTTATTTCACAATATTTCATTATATTGTAACTTTTCTCCAGCATCCCCAAAGTATTCTCCAAACGGCCAGTTAGGTTAGTTAGGCTTGATCTAGATCTGAGCCTTCGCTGATTTCTGTAACTGGATTCTCTGGGGATGATGGTTTCAGACATGGTTCTTTCAGTTCTTGTTGTTCCACATTAGAAGATTTCCAGAACACTTTCATAGAACAGAAACTTATGTGTTCCACTGCTGAGATCTTCTGGGCCTTGTGATTGGTATTCTTTGACCAGCTGGTGGAAATTTTCCATCTCTTACATTTTATTCACTGGTGTTAATCTTATTCAGGATGCTGGAAAATTCTTATATCTCCTGAGATATTTCTGACTCTGGCATTTATCAATCAGTATAGTTAGTCAGCTGAGACCGAATGATTTAGAGAACCACGATTCTTATCTTTGGTTTCTTGATTTGACCCTTATTGTCCTTCTCCTTCACTGTTCTTATCAGAACAAAGTTATTGGACACTATTGCTGATGGAGGAATTGAGAATAAAAATGTAGATCTCTAAAAGTCAAGAAGGACCCCCATGTACTCAGAAGAGAGAAAAGGCTACTTGGTCAACAGCCCCAAGGAAGACAATGAACAAAGGACTCTGGGCAGTGCCTGCTCCCATGGACGTTTTCTGCTTTTCCCATGGGCACTGTATGCTCCTTTGGCAGTCCTCATGAACATCTGCCTGCTCTACCCAAGAAAGGCAGCTGGTCTGCTGTTCTCAAAATTGCTATTCTGCTCCTGTAAGCAGCGCATTTTGCTCTCACTCATTTGGGAAAGGCAGTTCCTCCCCGACAGGTGGCCTGGGAAACAAGCCCCAGCTGAAAATGCAAGATAGATGACCTGAGCCACCCTAGCTCCCTTAGTTCCCATGACTCTACTCCCTTAGTCCATGACTACCAATTTCCCTTATATAGTCTTTGCTCCTGAGATACCCAGGGAGCCAGGTCTTTGGAGCAGAAGCCTCGTCTCTGGGAAATTGCAATTCTCTAATAAACACTTATTCTATTTAGTCCAACTCCTGTGTCAGTTGTTTGGCTTAATGGCACAGGTAGCAAGAGCCCGACTCAGTTTCCCCCTGGTTTCAGAAGTAGTAGACACTGTTAGAAATATGCTAATGGTTTCTCACAGACTTCCTTTCTCACTAAGGGATCACTTAGGAGATGACATTTGGAAGGACAGTATTGATTTTACCCAGGCATGTATCAGGCAAAGCAATGAAATCCTTGTGTTTAATTCTTCAGCAGAGGAAATCAGTTTTATATGGTTGACAGTACAAGCATTGGGGACAGGTAAGGCCATTCTTTTGTTGAGATGAAATTAAAAAAAAAAACAGTGGGCTTTCTTCCATGGGCTGTGGAATAGGCTGAGGTGTAAACAGACTAATTAAATGGAAGAAGCGCTTATGAAAACAGTAAGCACCATGGAAGTGAAATTAGTTTGTAGGGCGAAAGGAGTTATTTTAACAATAACAAAAAAGCCCACCAGAGCCAAGTCTAGTAAAGGCCACTATTTTCTTTATTTTTATTTTTTACCATTTTCTTATATATTTATTTCTTTACCTCTTTGGGGATAAAAGAAAATTGTACTGGAGTTTTTTTCCTTTGTCTTCTAGAAATTTTCAATATGATGTTGAACTTTGAAGGACAAGTGGTCGATTTCTCTCTAGAGTGTTTTAAGATCTTATTGTGTTATAAATATTTAGTAATGATTACGTGATTTAAAAATAAAGTTTCGAGAATTATAGTTAAACTACTAACAGCTGCCAATTTGAAGTGACAACCTCAAAGATTTTTTTATAGTAATAAAGCTATTGATATTTAGTTTCTTTCTTTTATTTTCCCTAGAGGTTTTGCTACTTATTGATGAGTGCTTCAACTTACACGTTTATGATGATGTGGGAGTACAGCCACTATCTCTTGTTTCTTCAAGCAATATCTCTGTTCTTGCTAGATAGTTTTTCATTGGAGCGAAGTGACAAGGTATTATGGCATTTTGAAATTATGATTTTTAAATCCAGAGAAATGTTTTTTGCAGTATCGAATCTTAAATCTATTTAGTGTTATTTTTAAATGTTATAATAGGCTCTGATTTATACTTCTGTTCAAAAGATTGCAAAATTCTTTATCCTTTGTTCCTTTTAGAAGTACTTTAAAATACCCTTAAACCCAGTTTAAGGGAAAAGTCACCCTCTACTTCCTCTCCATTTCTGTATTTCTCCTTCCATTTTTGTTTCTTTCAAAAGAAAAAAAAAAGAGTGAAAAATAGAACATGTATAAAAGAGTGTATTATGCTGTATATACATTATTAGAATAAAGTATGGGTCTTTGACCCCCTGGGCCAATAAGTTGAGTGTCTGAATACCCCAGAAACCTCTCTCTAACTCTTCCCCAATCACATTCTGCTTCCTCCCCAACAGAGGCTAACTGTCCTGAATCTTATTAATTTTTTCCTCTTTTTCTTCATGGTTTTTACCACCTATCTATGTTATCCTAAAAAATATGTATTTGGAAATATTTACTTTTGCCTGATTTGCTTTTGAGAGTCATCAGTGGTCATGTACAGAGCTATATTTTATTCATTTATATTTATTTATATATTCTATTGTTGGTGGACTATTCATTATTTTCCAGTTTATTGTTCATGTGCTGCTGTAAGCATTCTTATACATGTCATATGGCACATAAGTACAAGATTTCTCTAGAGTATATACCTCATAATGGAATTACTAGTCAAATGATATGTGCATATTCAACCTAACTAGATATCAAGCCTTTCTCTAGAATGGCTATATCAGTTTATATTCCTGCCAGAGGTCTTTAAAGGTTCCCATCAACATTTGGTTCTTTCTGTTTATCTTTTTTCTTTTTTGCCAGTTCTTTCTTTTCTTTATTTATAAATATTTATTAAGTATTTAATACCTCATCCAAGCCAGATTTTAGGAATCTTCTTGCTCTTCTCTTTCTTTTCTTTATCTCATATACTCAGGTGGTCTGGAATCCTGGTTAGTACCAACATTTAGGTTATTGGAATAGAGAGAATTTAATATAAAGAATCATTAACTGAGTATAAAATCATTCATTTGCTAATTGAAAGGGTGGTAAAAACCTGAAAGTATCATAGAAGTAGCAGCTGCAGGAAGCAGTTACCACCTCTAGAGCTGAGGGAACAGAGAAAGAATTTGAAATTATTGAAATTTAGGGGAGGGTGCCTGTAGAGCTGAAACTCAGTCTCTGAGGAGGGGCCACTGCTCAGTTTTGCTAGTGTCTGAACAGGAAAGAAGGGCCCTGTGAAAATGGGACTCAGACCTTTGAGAATGAAGCTCTGACCAGCTGCTCTTTGGGTCTCTGGGGCAAGAGGATGGGATAAAGCTGGTTCTTCAACAGGAAGGAATTGCTCTGTTGGAGTGAAGAAGCATCACTAAGGTGATGCTCACAGGAACTGCAAGCAGACAGGTAGTAATAGGAAGGAAAAAGCTCCTTATTTCTCCTCCATCCTGATAATATCTCCTGCATTTTGTATTGGCAGAGCTTAATAGGAAGCCATCTGGAAAAGCAGAAATGTAGATTGCAGAGTCCGAGCACCAGCATTATGAGGCAGGGATAGAGAAATTTGGAGCTAAGAGACAGTTAATAACTATAGAACCAGCATCCAAAATCAAGAAATAGAACATTGTCAGCACCCAGAAGATCCCATTGTTCCCTCTCTTAGTCATTGCTTCAGCCTCCCAACAGTTAGGTATCTTTATTTTTTTAAACAGCTTTGGCCTTAGGGACTTTTTTCTTTCTTTCTTTCCTTTCTTTTTTTTTTTTTTTTTTAATTTTTCTTTTCTTTCTTTCTTTCTTTCTTTCTTTTCTTCTTTTTTTTTTTTTTTTTCCTTTTTTTTTTTTTTTTTTTTTTAATAGTTTCCCTTTTCATTTGTTCCCTCCTAATGCCTATATTTTGTCTTAATTTTCCCTTTCTAAAAGTAATTAACTTTATGATAGATTAAATAATTATATTATTAAATTTTAGAAAAGAAATCTACTAAGACAAAACTTTCCTGAGAGATCTTCTATTAGGACATTAAATTTAACTTTCTTATATGTTCACTGTTAAACAGACCAAATGCAAAAATATTTTTCTCTGGTACTATCCTCATGGTAGTATATTTTCAATGGATAGATTTTTGTAACCGCTGCCAAAGATTATGATTTTGGATTTATGCAGTTCGATGTTGCATCGATAGATTTTAATAATAACAAGGTAAGCCAAGTGAAATTAAGTCAGAACTTAGAACTGAAGAAGGTTTTTCCAGTCTGATTTAGATGTCCATGGTTTTAAAGCTTTTAGCTTTGTTTGCAAGAGTTCTTTCTAAGAAGGAAGTGATAAATTCATTACACATTATAACATTAAAATAGGAATTGAACATTTGCACAATACTGTCCCAAATTATAATAGAACATTTACTTTATAATTATAGTCAAATCCATTCTAAACAAAACTAATGAAAATATGTACAACAAAATTAATTTTATTCTCATTCATTTTATTTTTGTACCAACAGGTTCATGAAGTTTATAAAATCTATATATTTTCTCTCTTTCTGGGATATTTACTGCAGTTTGAGAATTCAGCTTTATTGGTGTCTCCTTTATTAAGTTTAGTAGTAGCCTTGATGCTTGTTAAGTGCCTTCAGGTAATTAGAACTGCCTTTTTATCATTCTTATGGTGACTTTTTTAATTGTTAATTTTTTTATACCTCATTGCTTTGTTCATTTGATTGTTTTCCCCCCACAGCTAAATGCGAAGAAGGAAACTTTAGTAGCTAAAATAATGAAAGTGATTAATTTTTACTTGGTGTGTACTCTGACAGTGACATTGAATATTGTAATGAAGGTAAGTAACTCTGTGTGTGAGATTCATGTAGTAGAGCAATTAAATAATGAAATACAGTGGATTAAATTTTAATGAGAGTAACGAGATAACAATGTAATAGAGTTAATACAGTAAAATTTTGAGTTGACCAATGTTCCTGCGTAACATATTAGGTAAGAAAATAGAATTATGATTCATTTCTAGATATACTTAAAAAATACATAATTTCCATTTAATTTAAAATGTCATTATTACCCAATTAACATTAAGTAATATATGGAATAAAATGAGATGAGTCAAAGGTGTTTGGAAGAGTGGGTAAGTTACTTAAGCCAGGTGGGATAAACTTGAAATCTTCGTACTTCTTCATTATAGTTTTATGCTTCAGTATAAGGTAATATGATTGACTTATGCCAGTAAATCTCCTTGCTTCATAGTTATACCATGTAATGTTTTATTCATATTTTTTGTTTTGTAGTCTTACTATATTTTCTCTTTCTAGTATTGGACAAAAACACATTGCTGTAAGTAAGTATAGCTAATAGTTCTTTGTCATAACTAGTGTTTTTCCCCTCCAGATATTTGTCCCACACGAAGAAAATGGGCACATGCTGAAATTCCTTGAAGTAAAATTTGGACTAAAAATGACTAAGTAAGTTTTAGATTATGTAAGTTTACCTAATTCCATACGACTTAGATAAAGAACAAAAATAAAGGAGGAAGTATAGACCTAATTACATACCACTTCGGAAATAAATAATTTGGGATATTATAATATCTAGAATAAATCTAACGTTAATGTTTCTTCTCATATTAAAAAAATCTCATTTAGGTCTTTTATAAACTAGATGTACTTAAACTTTAATAGCATCACAGTATTTTGAGGCTATATTCTCCTGTAATGAGGAGCAATGATGTAATCTAAGGACAGAGTAAACAACAGATCTAAAATGAATAAAGTATCAAAGTAATTTTAACCACTACATCAGCAAAATGCTTACATTAAAAAGGGCATAGGCATATTTATTTTATAGCACAGAATCTTATCTTGAGGTAATAATAATGCATTGGACCAGAAGCTGATTTTTTAAATTCAAGAATAGTGTTGTGCCTTTTTTGTTCATTTGTTTGTTAAATGCATTTTTAAAACCTAAAGTGAACTACATGATTTTATGTACTGACAGAGTCTACTTGCATAACAGAAAATATATTTTTACCTACACATTTCTTTAGTTCACATAATGTACTTTAGAACCTTATTATCATTTGCTGTGATTACTTGGGATTTTAGATACTGTGCATGAAGTTTCATGTTTTGATATATCACCACTAACAAAGTATTTGACATAGTTAAAGCACTAGAGAAATCTTCTGAAGTGTAAGTCATATATGGATGGTCTACTAAGATAAAAGGATCCTTTAAGAAGCCATGTGCTCCAGAAGGATAAGGGACCATGTCTTTTAGGTCTGACACAGCAGGCAATTAGTAAAAATTAGTTGTAGACTTCATAATTGACTGGCCTTTTCATTGACTTTCCCTTTAACCTTGGAAGACCCTAGAATGAACCTAGGATTAAGGACTGCTTTTGTCCATTGTTTCTTAGTTGATGTTATATAAGTCCCCTTTTGTTTAGCATATCAGGTACTAGATTTACTTTACAAGGTAATGCATTAGGTGTTTTAAGTGTAAGACATGGGCCCTGTCTTTTGCTATCTCATAGATAGTTTTTGTGTGATTAATGAATGACATGAGTGGTATAAACAGTAAATGCCTTAACCTCAACTATGCCAATTGGATGCTAGGATTTGAAGTTTATCAGAATTTCAGGACACATTTCTGTTGAATGTGTCTTGAACAGACTTTCAAGAACCACTAAAGGAATGTTAATAAATATTTGTTGGATGTGCAGGATACTAGGCCAGGCACTCTGGGGATACAAAAATGACCACAGTCTAACACAGGGAAGATTGTATTAAGCATGATAATTGGGAGGTAAATATAGTGCTGTGGGAATATGGGGAAGGAAAGATTGAGACGGGGGGATACAGAAAGAATACTCGTTAAATTGAGATTTGAATTAGACCTTTATAGAATTAATAACTTTAATAGGCACATTTTTAAAAAAGAAACATTAGTTGTAGGTACAAGATATTTTGATGGCAGCCTCTTTGATACAGCTGTACTGCTGTTTGACACACTGTAAACCTAAAATTAACCTTTTATTCTAAATCCAGAGATTTGTGAAGTAGGCATCCCTCTGTGAGCACTCCTGAACATCACTCCACCTCTTACCTCCTTTCCCAGGGCAAGGGATTAAATATGAAATGGAGGTGAAAGGTAGATTGGAAGTGAGAATGCAGATCAGGTTGCATATAACTAGAGTCCTGTTGCTCACATTTAGCTTAGGGTAAAAGTTTATCCTGATTCATATAGCTCAAAAGCTTTACATTTCAAATGTTATGATTTCTGTATTAATAATTAGATATCTCTTTTTAAAATAGGTCCCAGTTGAGTTACACTTATCAATATCAATCAAAGCTGCCTATTAGTAATATATTGTGAGCCACATACATACTTTTCTAGTAGTCACATTAAAAAAGTAAAAAGAAACAAGTGAGTTTAATTATATTTTATTTAATCCAGTATATCAAAAATATTTTAATATGTAAATGGTATAAAAATTATTAAGATAATTTCGTATTTCTTGTTTTCATTCTCTTTTATCTTTGAAATCCAAACTGTATTTTGTACTTAAAGTATATCTCCATTTGCATTGACCACATTATAAGTGCTAATAGCCACATGTAACTAGTAGCCTACCATATTGGATAGTGCAGATTAAGTTATTAGGCAGTTAAATTTTTTATTCTCTTACAGATAAAAATAGAAAGTTAAACTCCCTTGAAACCATCTTGGGCTCTAGATATGGTCATATTACTTGTAACAAAAAGCAGTAGTTTTACATTTATTAGAGCAGTTTGTTGAGGAAAGTTATTAATGCTATTATCTTCATTTTTAAAGGGTCGGATCTGGCTGTTATAAGTGAATAGATTTAGGAAATGTGTTTTGTTTAAGTTTTTACTTGAGTTAAAAAAGATTTTACGTTCAGTAGTTTAAAACCTGTTATTTTAATATGCTTTTTGTCTTCTCTAGGAATTTTACATTGAATTGGCTCCTATGTCAAAAATCCCTGCAGGCACCATCTCAAGAATTTTTTTTGCGATTGACACAGTCTTCTTTATTACCTTTCTATATTTTAGTGTTAATTATTTGTTTTCTTTCTATGATGCAAGTTATTTTTAGGAGAAATAAGTAAGTACCTATGAACATCAGTGGCATTTCTAATATATATGTAAAATGTTTATTTTTAATATTCTTCCAATATTTGTGTACTTGTTTTAGAGCTTCTACTTCCATTCTCTTTTCATCAGTATTTAAAATAGTATTATAAGTTGACCAGATAAAATTTAAATTAAAGTTTATATATCTAAGTATGTAATTTAGTGTAGGAGTAATATTTAAATAATCAGTTAAACTGTCACAAAATCATTCACTAATTCATTCGGAGTTTTACTTAACTAAGAATAATTTCTTCTGTTTTAACTTAAGTGAAGCTAGTAGTATAAGTGATTTTAAATTATAAAGCTTAACTGTTTTTATTATATTTGAAAGGAGGTTGTATGTGTAGTATCTTAATTTTGAGAACTTAGTTGTTCAAATTATGATTTAACTATACTGAGTCATTAATCACTAATTGATCTTGGAAAGGATCCTAAAACATTTTTTGAATTATATTTCTGAATTTTAATTTTTAGTCTTCACTGAATCAGTAATATTCAGGTTCTAAAAGCCATTTTCAAAAACTTGGAGGTATAAAAATTAGTATTTGACTAGTGCAATATACTTTCAAATTTTAAGGACCACCTATATTCCTTTTTATGAAAAAATTTAAGATCTCTGATTTTTCAAATATATATTTTTAAAGTTGTGAAAAACACATTTCCTTTCTGTAGTGGTAAGTCTTTGAAAGAAACTGTTACTCTTGAAGATGGAAGAATTGGAGAAAGGCCAGAAATAATTTATCATGTGATTCACACTATTTTATTGGGTTCTCTTGCAATGGTTATAGAAGGGTAAGTGTACTTTATTTGATCTATTTGTTTTTACAAATAATTATCCTTTCTAATGGTAATAAGTGGATACTTTCAAGAATGCATTTATAAAACTATAAAAACTAAAGTCTAAAACTTTCTTAATCTACCTAGAGTTTACAAAGGTATTTATAATATAGTGAACTGACATTTACAGATTCATTAATTTATTCAGAAACTTTTGAATGTCTTCCAAGGGCCGGGCATTAAAACCGGTGCTGGAGGTACAGTGGTGAACAAAGGTGGACACACAGTCTCTAACCTTATGTGACTTATGGCCTAATGGAGGTAAATAAGATATGCGAACATAAATATAATAAAAGGCACCATGAAACTGCATATTAATTAAAGTTAATTATTCTTAAATTTTAATTTATACCAGAGCTTTCCTTTTTTCTTTTCTAGATGAAAGATGGAAATGTTACCATCTTTAGAAATTTGTAGTTTTTTAACCATCTCTTTATTAGACAGATTACTTGTATGTAAACTGAGTACTTAAGAGCATGCAGATCATTATGTTTGTTTCATTTTTATTGTAAAAAGAATATGGCATAAAATTTACCATCTTAGCCCCATCTTAGCCATTTTTAAGTACATATATATAGTTCAGTAGTATTAAGTATGTTCACATACTTGTGTATTCACATTGAAAATTTTTATCTTGTAAATCTGAATCTCTATACCCATGAAACAAAACTCCCCCTTTCTCTCTCCCACCAGGCCCTGGTCACTCCCATTCTACTTTCTGTTTCTGTGATTTGACTATTTTAGATACCTCATATAAGTACAATCATATAATACATATCTTTTTGTGACTAGCTTATTTCACTTTGCCTAATGTCCTCAAGGTTCATCCATGTTGTGACAGGGATTACCTTTTAAAGGTTGAATAATATTCCTTTATATGTATACATCACATTTTGTTTATCCATTCATCCGTTGATGGACGTTTAGGTTGCTTCTACCTCTTGGCTATTGTGAGTAGTCCTGCTATGAACATGGGTGTGCAAATATCTCCTTGAGACTTTGCTTTCTATTCTTTCGGGTATATACCCAGAATTGGGATTGCTAGATCGTGTGATACTTCTATTTTTAACTCTTTAGGGAACTTCCATACTGTTTTCCATAGCTGTTATACCATTTTACAATTCTCTCAACAGTACACAAGGGTTCAAGTTTCTCCACATTCTTGCCAGCATTTGTTATTTGTCTATTTCTGATAGTAGCCATCCTAATGGTTGTGAGGTGATATTTCATTGTGGTTTCACCTTATATTCCCCTGGTGGTTAGTGATGTCAAACATCTCTTCATGTACTCGTTGGCTGTATATCTTCTTTGGGGAAACATCTATCAAGCATTTTGCCCTTTTTCTTAATTGGGTTACTTGAATTTTTGTTGTTGAGTTGTAGGAATTCTTTATTTTAGATATTACCCCCTTATCAGATATATGATTTGTAAATATCTTCTTTGATTCTATAGGTTTCCTTTTCACTTGGTTGATTGTGTTACATTTAGATTTTGATATATCCATCTCTGGAAAATATGCAGCTATTCAAAATTATGTTTTTTAAAATTATTCAAGAGACATGGACAATAGACTAGTGGTTATCAGAGAGGACGGGGGAGGTAGAAGGGGTAAAGGGGTCAAATATGTGGTGACAGAAAGAAATCTAACTATGGGAGGTAAATACACATCGTAAATATATATATATATATATATATATGCCTTACTGTTAAAATATACAGCTTACAGGAACTTACAGGATTTCGTTAACCGTCACCATAAAAAATAATTAATTAAAAAAATTAATTACAGGATTTCGTTAACCAACGTCACCATAAAAAATAAATTAATTAATTAAAAAAATTACTCAAGAATATATAATACTATATAGATATGTAGTAGTAAATGAAAAAGGAAGTTACAGCATTGTCACAATTTTGCTAAAAATGTGTGTATGTGTGTGTGTATGTATATATCATACATGAACATCAGAAGGAAATAAAGTGACTATTTTTGAGTGACTAGGTTATGTATAATTTAAAAAATGTATCCCTCTATACTTTTTGAGTATTTTCAAATTTTTTACAATCAGAATAAGATCAGGAAAAAAAAATCAGAATGGTTACCCCAGAATAAATACTACCCATTGTTTATAAAGACAGTATTCCAATTATGAATAAAATGTGTTTAGTATTTGAGAATATTGAAAGAAAAGTTTATCCAAGGATTGATATATCATTAGTATAAATTATCTTTATATAAATGCTATGACCCTGCTTGTTATTAATTTCTGGGATTTCTAAAAGTAACCTGATTTACTTTGATTAGTTAACATTGGGGCTTTTACGATGGGGGTTCAATAAATGATACTCCTTTCTTTGAAGTTTGCATTCAGATGAGAAATAATACATAGGATTAAGTCAGCTGGGGGTGAAAAATAATAATTGTGATTCTCATAAAAAGTGTATTGGAGAACAGTTCTTCATGTATGATCAAAAGGGCTTCTAATGTCTTCCACCTCAAGTTGATTCTAGTCCCCAGTCTCAGGCCTTCCCTCATGAGTAAGCAAAGCCTTGGTAAGCCTACTGTGCCCATACACACACAACCTGCAGACAGAAGATGCAAAATATAGAAGCCTAGAAATGTTTGATTGGGTGTGCTCAAGTCTTTATCTTACACTTACAAATCAGGCAAATCACTCTTATGAGGAGGAGCGATTAAGGTTCTGAAGTAATGGATGACAGTGGAGGTAGGGAGAGGTGAAGATGTTAATCCAGTATAAGATTTTCTAAGATAAATTTACTTTAATTATGAATGTAGGTACTAAATCACAGTAATTTAGGCACTACCTGTGTTGCTTTTCCCAACAGAAAACATAGCTATTTTCTCATCATGTTAATTTTTTACAGATATCTTGAAATAATGTTTTTATACATCACTACTTCAAAAGTAGTCATTACTAGACCTGCATTTAATGTATTACTATAGAAGTACAAATATTGCTGTTATAAATTTATTTTTACTATTTGATATCACTTTCAATATGATTGGTTTTCTTCGTAAGCCCATATATTTTATTTTATAAAGTTAGAAATCTTTTCTTATAAGGGGTTCATAGATTTTAGCAGACTGCCAAACCCATGACTTGTGGGAATCTCTTTATGGAAACAAGAAGCAATGATAGTGGTTCACTCTAATAGTTAGCATTCCATAATGCCTAATAAGTTGGGTGAAGAACTTTATTAAGCTATGTATGTTTTAAAAGATTCATGTTTGAGTTATTATCTCACTGCCTTGTAGCAGTAAAATTTTGGAGCATGATTTCCTTTTTTTCTTCTTTGTGCTCTCAGTTTTATTTCTCTTTGCAAAAGAGCCTTTTGTCATTCCCACCAGTCTTCATTGTTGGGTCTGCCATTTTAAATTCAACATCCTGTTTTTGACTGTTTAATCCTCATTATTCTATCTTTCATCTTTAATTCTATAATTTACTCACTAGGCTGATAAGAGCATGATCACCTATTCATGTAATTTAGATGCATGGTCACCTATTAGGTGCCAGACACTCTGCTAGGTAGGCAGTAGGAATAAAAGAGATACAGGATATAGTCTTTCTTTTTAGAGATATCCTATTCCCGATAAGTAAATCAAGAATTAGCGTAAAGTAAAACAAGTACTATCAGAAAAGTATACATAGAGTGCTTTGGTCACCTAGCAGAGAGGTACTAACTTAGTTGTG